GGCCTCATCAGTAGTTAAAGTTAGGTCATTCTTTTCTAGCAAGATAGCCTCCTACTTTAGGATACTGGAATCCATCAGCCATCTACCCACCTTCTGGTTTAAGATTGTCCTAATTTCATGGGGAGTTGCTAATAATTAGGGCTCCCCCAAAAGTGATTTTTCTACTTTCTTCAGTTAGAAGAGCTATTGCCACCACTGCCTGAATGCACTCAGGACAACCTTGGGTGACAGGATCCAGAAACTTACATAATAAGGCCACAGGTTAAACGTTGGCCCCCATATTTTTGGGTTAGCAACCCAAAGACAACTCCCTTATTTACATTCACGGAGGTGAAAGGGCTGTTCAAGAGCAGGCAAGACTAGCATCTGGGCTGTGATAAGGGCTTGTTTTAGCTCATCTACTTGTTCTATCTCCTCGGGGGTCCAAAGGAGGGGGTCTGGTCCCTCCCGGATCAATTTGAGATGTAAAGATTTAGTTTTAAGGGCATATGAGTCTATCCACAAATGGCAATATCCCACTAAGCCAAGGAACTTTCTCAATTCTTGTTTTGTTCCTGGGAGAGGGAGACCAGTGATTCCTTCTATTCTTTCTGGACCAATCTTTCATTGGCCCTTACTGATTAAATGTCCCAGGTATTGTACTTCAGTCTTAGTAAACTGTAACTTATTCTTTGAAATACGAAGTCCCTGGCTTCCCAGGAAATTTATAAAGCTAGTGGTGGTGTTGATCACTTCTTCCCGATTATCCCCTGATAAAAGCAAATCATCCACATATTGGAGGAGGCACATGTGGGGATCTAATATGAACTTTTCTAAGACTTGTTCTAAAATCTGGACAAAGAGGTGAGGGGAGTCAGTAAATCCCTGGAGAAGGACAGTCCACCTGTATTGTTGCTTGCATCCTGAGTGAGGGTCCTCCCATTCAAAGGCAAATATGTCCTGACTGTTCGTATCTAATGGGCAGGCCCAAAATGCATCCTTTAGTCTATTACACTAAACCACTCATGGTTATGTGGAATTTTGCTGAGAAGAATGTAGGGGTTCGGGACTACTGGGTGTTTAGCTTGGATTATTTGATTCACAGCTCTAAGGTCTTGAACTAACTGGTTGGACCCATCCATCTTTTTGACTGGGAGGGTTGGGGTATTGAAGGGAGATATACAAGGTTCAAGGAGCCCATCTCATATCAGTCCCTCAATAACTGGCTTCAAACATATCCCCCCCTCCATAGGAATAGGGTATTGTTTTCTCCTAACAACCTCCCCGGTCTTCTTTAATTCAACTTTGATAGGTGTAACCTGTAGGCCACCTCAGTTCCCATCTCTAGCCCAGACTATTGACTTAATTTGTTTCTCGGCCCATGGAGTAAGCAGATTTAGGGATGCTTGTATTTTATCCCTTTTTACATGTAAATCTATTTCTAATCCGGTCATTAGATCTCTTCCAAACGGGTTGGTACCTGCCTCAGGACTAGGAGAAACTTTATCTTAGTGGTCCTATCTTGGAAATAAACATCTGTTTCTTGTAATATTTTAGCTGGAAAGCTTTCTCCCTTTATCACAGAAATGTGTATCCTCTCCAGGGAATAGATTAAGCCCCTGGGCAGAAGACAAAGGGAGGATCTGGAAGCTCCTGAGTCAATCAGGAAGGTGACAACTTCATGTTGTGTTTCCACTTCTAAATTTATCAAGGGCTCTGAGTGGACCCTTCAAAGTAAAAGAGCCTCTGACTCCCCTATTCTTCATCAAAGGTCATTAAGGGAACAGTTTCCCTATGCTCTCTTTCCCATTCTGGACATTCTCTTAAAGTGTCCATCTCCCCACATTTAAAGCACTTATTTTCCCTCTTTTTTGTTTCATTCTGACTTTCTGGTCTCTTACACCCAATGAGGGAGGGTGGGCTGGTTGAGGTCCAATAGTATATTGGTTTGGCCTTTCCCTATTAACCTGCTGGAACGTGGATAACAATCTTTGTTTTTGTTTTTTTTCTTCCTCTCTCCTTACATATACTTTTGTGCCTCTCCCAATAATTCCTCTATGGATCTATTCTTCCAGTTTTCTAGTTTTTGTAATTTCTTTGCTATTTCTGGCCAGCTGATTATAACAAAGTGAAATTTTAACATTCCCTGTCCTAAAGGGTCTTCTAAGTCTAGCCCAGAATACTTTCTCATCTGATCCTTGAGGCGGCTCATGAACTCAGTTGGTCCCTCATCCTCCCTTGTTGGATATTAAGGCTTTAGAGAGGTTTTGTGACCTTGGCACTGATTCTCGGATTCCCCTTATTGTTAAATCTCTTAAGTCCCTCATATTTTCTCAGTGTCCTGGGGTGTTGTTATCCCACTGGGGATCTTGGTTAGGAAACTTAGCATCAGCCACCAGGACATTCTGTCCTGGGGGATGTTCACGTTCCCAGATAGGCATTGCCGTTCTATGGATCATGGCTCTTTCCTCCACCAAGAAGAGAATTCCCAAAATAGACATTAACTCAGCCCAGGTATAAACCTGTAGTCCCAAAAATTTGGTTAACCTGTTCTGAGACCCCAAAGGGATCCTTGAGAAGGGGTCGCAACTCCTTTTTAAACTTTTGGACCTCACAGCTGGTAAGAGAGGCATTTACAAACCCAATTTCACCCCTTCCGAGGGGTACCTCCATGAGAGGAAAGAGGTTGAGTCTGGTCTTTCCCTTTGGGACTGAGGAAAAGGTAGATTCTCAATGTCCCTATGACATTGCTCTAAGTCCTTTTGGAGCTGCAGTAGGGACGGGTTTCAGGTAAGGAGTGGGGGGGTCAGGGAATTGAAGGGGAGTGGAGGTGGAAGGGTTAGGAGGAGGAGGTGGATTGGTGCAAGCCTGGGGTGGTGGCCTGGGGGCGGCTCTGGTGCCTGAACTGGAGGAACAGCAGGGTTATTGTGGGGAGGGGAGTAAATCCCAGTTAGAAGGAGTTTAGGTTTTTCTTTTTGTCTTTTTTTTTTTCTTAAAGTGGAAACAGGACTACAGGACTGTCTACAACAGAGGGCACATTCTATGTCCTCTTGAGTGACTGAGCTCTTGTCATTAACACTCTCAATTAATAGCTGACAGACGAAGTCCTCATCAGACCCAAATTCTGGCCAAAAAACCAAAGGCTTTAAGATTGGTTCTTGGGTCCAGATAAAACAACAGTATTTAACCATTTTTTGTTTCTTTTTCCCTATAGTATGGGGGCTATCATACCAGTATTTTAACATCTGCCCTAGGGGGCTCCCAGAGGGCATTTTATCCTGGCCTTTGTTTTCTGGCCCCTCTCTTTGCTGCCTTTATTTCCCATTTCTCCCTTCTGTTTGTGCTGTATCAGGAGCTCACCCACCCCCCAACTTTGCCTTGGAGGTTTCTTGTACTCAGATTCTTTTTTGCTTTGTCTGTCTCTGCCCATGTCCTTCGTCCTTCGTGGGAGCATGAGGCACCTTTTGGTAGCCTGCGGGTCAGTACAAACTCCTGACCTGGATTAGATTTTAAAATGTAATCTGCTTTAAATAGAATGAGGCTGCCTCAGAACTATGGATCAGGTCTCCACTATCACCATGTGTCACCCGACACATCTCATTCACACATCACACAGTCCCAATATCCCAACCACCAAGACATTACTTGGTCACCTCCATGATGTTTCTTGTCTTGGTTTGTGCACAGAACTCACATGGTCACTGCAGTTCCTGTCTTCAGAGCTCTTTTACCTACATTGTCAAGAAATACTGGAGTCCAAGTTCATTCGCAGATCCAGAAAGTTGTCACAATCAGCTGAACCTCGGGGCTGCTGCAACTAGGCAGCAGGATGCATCTCCCTGGGGAAGGGCTGGGGCCCTCTTTCCTGGATGGAATGTAGTATCCCAGACGATCCTCCAAATTGTTAGAATTAATAACCCTTTAGTGCCGAAAACAGACACACAAGAAACAGAAAATCTTGACAAGGCAATTTCTCTTGATCAAGAGGGTGCAAGCATGTGCTCACTCCTGCTAAGCAAACACAAAAGCACAAAATGGCTGACAGTGGGTCCTCCTTATATCCCTGATGCACTTGTACCTGGCCTCACCTGGGATTTGTCCAGGTCAAAGGTTCACAATCTCCCTCGATTGGCTAAAAGGCTTGAGGGATGGGTGAGGGCATACAGTTGGTGAGCAATGGAGTTGTACAGGAATCTGGAAGAAGCAGCAAGGACCCTTTAAACATGCAAGTCACCTATGATGGTGGCCTGAAGAATTTTTAAGTAATCTAAGAAGGTAACAAATACTTTGATAGAAAAGGTCATTTTTCTTACAATGGTGAGCACTAAATTCAATACTTTGTATTTAGTACTTGAGAGGGCTGGGTTTCAAGGCCCAGGTGAAGTTACTACAGAAACCTGCTCAGCTGCACCCAATCTCTCTCTGTTGCCCACTCCTGCCACCTTTGAGCTAGACACAGTATCTGAACATCAATCCCCACACACATACACACGTGTCCCCATGCTCCAGCCAGCTTAAATACTCCTTACTAAGGACAAAGTTGAGTCAGAGACCTGTGTTTCAATCCTCATCCCACCACTGACTAGCTGTGTCACCGAGCCAAGCTAACTTCTGTTAACCTTGGTCAGATGAACGTGCCACAGGCATGCTGGCAGAGCTAAAGGAGGAAGGAGTGAAATGTGGCACAAACTGCAATTCTAGGTTTCTCCATCTCTCTGAACCTGTTTCTTCCGATGTGAAACAGGAATCAGGACTGGAAAGGGTGTGCATGTAAAATGGGTCTTTTAATCAGCATTGCAGAAAGTATAGGTTAAGGCAACCTGGAACACAGATGTATTCCCATTGAGAGCCCAGTGACCTAAGATCTGTCCAATGGCCTTCACCAACCAGATAACAGGAGCTGGGACTGCCTTCCGCTACTTGGTCACCATCAAGAAAGGGGAGGGGTGTTTTGTAATGACTCTCACTTGAGGTCCATATACACATAAGCACTCACACACCCAACCACTAACATCTGTTATTTTATTTTTTAGAAAAAAGTTCCAATACAAGGCCCCAGAGCAGTGTATGCACATCAATGACCCTCAGGCTGACCGTCACTGTCAGATGACAGCACAACATACTCCAGTCCATGACCTGGTAAAGAAACCAGCTTCTCAATCTGAGTCCCATCACCTAACTATGCCAATGTCTGCATGGCTCATGATGACTGAAGTACATTTTAGTATCTGAACAGTAAAGACACAGTGGCAAGTGCAACGAGTAAGTGTCCTTAGTGTATTAGACAGGAAATACAAACGAGGTCTACAAGGAAAAACCAGATTTATGTGATGCCTGCATCCCAAAGTCTCTTCTGTGTATGACCATGACCTATTTCTAGGTAGATCTGCCAACAGTATATCAAGAACTTGCTCACTTGTTGATGAGAAGGCGCTGTCTGAAGGACTGCAGGAAGGGTGAATATTCACATGAGGTAAGAAGTTGAAGTTGGGGTTACAACTCACAGGCCAACTTTTCTTTACTGTCACCTGGTCTCTGCAATCCAACCTTGAGCCTGCATGAATTCTGTGAAGTGGTGCAGCAAGAAAGTAGAGAGTTCTCTCCCGTCCTTTCTCACAGAATTCACTAAAGCCCAAAGGATGTTTTTAGTTTGGTTTAGTATATCCAGTGAACTGGGTTTTTAAAAGCACTTCTTACGCATTTCTCAATGCTCTTAGTTACAGATTGTTACCTGGGGTTGGTTTCAGGGAAGGAGCACAGTTAGTGAATCAGTCCTAACTGAGGTCACCGGTTCTCATAAGAAAAACAATGATGATGGGAAACGGCATTTTGCTTCTTTGGGGCAGAGAGAAATGACAATCTAAGCAGGGAGGTACAGGCTGGCTGGGCCTGAAACTTCAGTAACAGCCTCTAGGGCCTGGGTCTCAGAAAGAGGCCTGCTCCAGGCAACATCTTACACACCTGGCTTCCCACTTCCCAGAACAGCTGATGATGCCAGCAGGGCTGGCAACTGGCTGACGCTGGTAAAGCACTCACAGTCCCATGTTTGAAAGCAGAACCCAAATGCAGAGTTCTTCATACCTCCACCCACTCCCCATTCCCACACCCCTATGCAGGACTTTCCTTCGCCAAAAACAGGCGCTAAAGAAATGTGACCAGAGTTGACACAGATGTAGCTCTTTACACCCAGTTTCTCCATTCCAATTGTCAACAGGAATCTTCGCCAGAATGTAGTAAATGAAGCTGAGCTCTCACACCAGTAATGGATGGACGTAGGGCACAGTTAGTTAAGGGGGATAAAGTGACTAGTGGTCAGTTACTGCTCATTAACAAGCATAATTGCAGAAACTCTACCTAGAGCTAAACATACCTGGATATCGATGTCAGCTGTCCATCCAGGGCTCTGTAAACCAAAGCACCAGAGCTACATGAAAAACTTCCCTTTCTGCCCTTAACTGAAGAGTTCAAGTACTGAGGGGCTACTGGAGATATCCTGGGCCGTGCCTCCGCAAACACTTTAGTATCTTAATACCAAAAGGGGTAAGATAACCTCTCATCAGTGCCCCAAGTCAGGATGAACTTAAAAGGAAGAAGGCTAATCGGAAAGCCTTCCAAGTTATTTTATCTTCTCTCCTGATGATGTTCCACAGAAGCTTCCTGATCAGCAATTCCTAATTACATGCTGAGCCCTAGAAGAGGTCCAGAGGAGAGTCAAAAGACCTGGAAGGAGGTTTTTCCCTGGACAGTTGTTCCATTAGAGCCATGCCTGAGTGGAAACTTCTCCCAAGCAATGCTAACATCTACCAAAAAGTTACCATTCTTATTCTTAAAAAGCTCATGATCCATTTCAGACTGACACCCCTGGAAGCTTAACTTCCTTAAACTGAGAGGGAAACAGACGCTGGCAAAACGACCCTCCCTCCCAACCTCCTCCATAAAGAAGTGCTGGGCCCTCCCGGGTCCAAACTCCCCTCCTCACAGCAGCACCACCCTCCCCTGTGAGCAGAGGAGCAGTTGGTGAAAGGGAACCCACAGCCTGCTGGGGATAGACTTCTGCCAGAGCAGACAGCTCAATGGAATCCATCCTGCCCAACTTGGCTACAGGAAGGGCCCTGTCAAAGGCTGTCCTATAATACTGCATCATGACCAAGACTAAGCAGCCATTTCTGCCCTGCCCCATCAGAGTGTACTGAGTTATAGCTCAGCAATAAAAATGTAAAGTCCCTTTAAAAGGGGAAAACCCCTAATTTAAAAAGCAGGAAAACCAGCAAATGAATGCTGATTCTTCCTGCCCTAGTTGCACTGTATTATTCAACTGTAGTGGAAATGTCCCAAGTGCACAAGTACCCCTAACCTGTGTGCATCCACCTGTCCACCCTGCCTTCTTCCCCATTGCCACCCCCCCCTCCTGTTCCCCAGGTCATGGCCAGGCCTCTGCCCCTCACTGGTCAGACAGGGCCCCCCTTCTGCTTGGCCAGGGTGCACTTCAGCTCCCGCAGATTCTCAGTCAGCACTTCCACCTCATCCAGACGGCCACACTGCTTGGCATCAAAGATGTAGGCCTTGATGTTGTCGATCTGCTGGAGGAGTAGCTCCTCCTCAATGGGCTCTTCGGCCTCAGGGTCACTGCTGCCATCCACCTCGAAGGGGTTGGTGCCAGTGTATTCCTCAAAGGGGTTTCTAGGGACAGGAGGGCTGACAGGCCTCGGGTGGGAACGGTCATCTTCCTCATCAAAGGGGTTGGGCGCTGGACTGTCTGGGTCAGTGAAGGGATTCCCTGTCACTGCCACCTCCTCCTCTTCCTCTTCCTCAAAAGGATTGTACTCCTTGAGGGTGGCAGTTGGAGGGCTGAGGGATGCCCCAGCAGCACGAGGGCTGGCAGCACCCTCATCCATGGGGCTGCAGAGGTCTTCCTCTACAAATGGGTTTAGGGAAGGCATGTCATTTTGTTGTGACATAGTACGCTGGGGGAGGAATTCCTGGCCAAGGGCCAAGGGCCCAGACCATATCTGGACAGGTGCTTGAGCCAAGCCGGGTGAAGGAGTCTTGGGAGTTGTGCTTCCTTGAACTGGGGAGGAGTCCAGATCCAAAGCATAGGCAAGGTGGGTGCGAGGCCCTCGGCTAGGGTCCAGTTGGAAGGGTGCAATTTCTCGGAAGTCCAGAGACCGAGTCCGAGTATGGAGCGATGCCACCCGGAACTGTTGGTGTTCTCGTTCCTGCTCCCGCTCCCGAAGCATCTGCAGCTGTTCCCTCTGCAGGTCCTCTTCCTCTGCCTGCCTCCGAGACAGCTCAATGGCCTTCTCAGTCTGCTGCTGGTCATATTCATCCTGCAGCTGCCGCAGGTTCTCCTGCAGCATGCGCACCTCATCCACACGGCCCGCGGCCTTGGCCTGCCTGATGAATGATGTGATGTTGTGGATCTGCTGGAGGAGCGGGTCAGGGTCTTCACTCTGTCCCTGACCTCCTGACAGTGGGAGCCAACCCTCAGCCTTTCTCAAGGGGGCAGGTCCCCTGTGGAGAGATGCCACTTCCCCATTGGCTGCACGAGATGCCAGGCCACTCTGCCTTTCTTCAAGCCTTCTCTGAGACTCCAGGACAGCCTGCAGAGACACCAAAGCCACAGGGTTACCACAGTCACCAGGCTAGCAGCAACCCACCAACTATGGTCTCAGCAACACTCCATTCCTCTGCATCTCCAACTGCTAAAATCAGGGGGTGCAGGCTTTGACCTTCAAAAATAAAATAATGAGTAACAGTATTTAAGGGATAAGATTTTTTTCAATTTTAGCTTCACTGGTCATACACTTTTCATAAATCTCCATGATCTATTACCCTAATCTACACAATGTTAGAAACTCACAGTGTTTTTGTTTGTTTTGTTTAGGGTGGCACTGGGGATTGAATCCAGGGCCTCCAGCATGGTAGGCAAGTGCTCTACCACTGAGCTACACATCAAACCCCTCATGAGATAGGGTCTCACTGTGCAGTTCAGGCTGGCCTCAAACTTGTGATCCTCCTTCGTCAGCCACCTGAGTCCTGGGATTACAGGAGTGTGCCACCATGCCCAGTTACTTTCTGTTTAACAAGACACATCCCAATGTGTTCTGCAGGGAACAGGTGTCTTGGTCCCCTGCAAGTGCTACCAGGGGACAACTACCAATCTCTATGGTGTTCTAGGCATGAAAGGATCAGCAAAACCCTAAAAGAAAACTAGGAACTACCAATCTCTATGGTGTTCTAGGCATGAAAGGATCAGCAAAACCCTAAAAGAAAACTAGGAACTGGCTAGAAAAACAATGATTCTAGGTTCCACAGATAAGAGTAGGCCAGAAAAGAGAAAAAAGCAAGGCTCTGAAGCCATGCAATGTGCAGGACATCCCAAAAGGTGGTGGGGTTGCAAGGAGGTGATAGCCACTGGGTGCCCAGGCTCTGCACACCTGTCTCTCCATGATCCTCTTCTGTTCCAGGTCCTGCTTCCTCTTCTTTTTCAGTTCCTCAAACTGTTCTTTGGTTGGCAGTGACATCAAACCCAGCAACTTTTCCTGTAGGGAGTTACAATTTTACACTTAAACCCTTTAAGGAAAAAAATGGGCCTTGTGCTTTGTGTGCTTGGGTTAAGCCCTTCTACCTCAGAGAGTGACATGCACTGATGGCAGCATAAAAAGGAGCTCCCCCTTCCATCTTCCAGATGGGCTGCCTTTTCCTATAGTCATGTCAGATATCCCAGGTATCCACCTGGCCCAGTATCAGCTTCTCCATGAGGCTTTGCCCTAACCACCCCACCTACCTTCCTATACCTCTACCCCAGCCCTTCCAACTACCCCTCCTGTTTACCACCCTTCCAGTCTGTAGTGCTTTTCACCCTCTCACTCACTATATGTTTTAGTCATTTATTCTGTCTGCCTCTCTGGAATATACCCTGTATGAGAACAAGAATGTATGTCCTCTTTCACTACAGAGCACCCTGCACCGAGCACAATGGCTAGTACTTAGGCAGGCACTCAAAAATAGCTGTGGAATAGTCACTAACCAAAAGTGGAAGGCCGACTCCTCTACACTACAGCATGGAAACCAACCCAGTGCCACTTTTGCCCACTGAGTCTCTCTGTCGGAGAGCCCCCAACGTGGTGAGCGATGACTCTCAGAAGGGGCATCAGGAGTAGAAATATGCAACTCAGATCTAACCACCCAGGTTCAGTCTGCACTTGAGTCATTAGCCAACAACCCAGGAAGAGTTCCTGAGGAGCTTATCCCAAGAAACACCACATAACAGAACACCTATCACTGATAACAGTAAAATCTTGGAATCCATCAAATGTCCAACTTGAGTGGAATGGTTAAAAGATGCAGACATAATTGAAGGAGAATTCTGTAGCCATTCAAACAACAGGTGTATTTGAGCATGTGTGAAAAAGTCCTTGATATAAAATTCAGTCATTAAAATAAGAAAATATAAATTTGCAAATGTGTACTAACTGTAACTATTGTATATGAAAACACACAAAAAAAGAAAAAATACATACCAGCATGATGAGTGACTATATTGGAAAACAGGATAAAAAGTAGTTTTGCTTTATCACATTTTTTATCACATTTTTCTCTAAATGTGGCATTTATAATGCATTCATAATCTTAAAAGTATGTAAATATACAGATAGAAAATAAGTCATTGGCACAGATCTGTCTTCTGAGAGGGAGAAGAGCAAGACAGGCCAAGTACACCCCAGGATGGCTTTACCTGCACAAAAAGCGTAGCTGAGTATCTGATCATCCTCTGTAGTCTCAAAGTGTTTGGATGTGGTGGAGGGTCCTGGTTCAAGCCCAGGGTTAAGATCTTCTTACTAAATTGGAACAAATACATCAAATGGGCTATGCCAGCCTCAGAATCAAAGTTGAAGTCACTGGAGCTGCCAGGCTTTCTTTTGTGCTAGGAGATGTGGAGAAGGGTAAGTGACTCCACTACCTCCAGTGTCCTTGAAGGCAAAGCCCATTTCATACCCTCTGGCTATACCCAAGGCCCTAACACAGCACAGGGTGCATGTCAAATGTCCAGTCACTGGGGGACTGACCACAGGGTCTGGCACTTAAAGGAATCCATACTTGGTTTAATGCCCTACTCTCAATGTCTTAAAAGTCCTAATGTTTAAACAGGGGATAGCACTTTCATTTTGTACCAGGCCTCTCAAATTAGACAACAGGTCCTGCACATCTAGACAGAAGATGGTTCTTCCCAATTACCTTCTGAGCCACTGTACTTCCTATTCCTCAAAGGGCTGACTGAACCCCAACAGCCAGCCCACAATTAAAACGCAGCTTAGACTTGAAGAATGAGTACAGACATGAAGAAGGAACCTGGGTTTCTATCTCAGCTCCTCTCCAATACAAAGTGAATGCTGATCTCATAGGTTTCTTTGGTAGAGTAAATGAGCTCCTCCTTGAGGACAGGCCATGACAGGCACACAGTTGGTGTCAACAACCGGCTCCTATTTCTTTAATAATAACTACCATCTGAAATCCTTAACCAGAGGTTAGTTACTGAGATGCACTGAATACCAGAGCAGACACCTGCCCTGGTCACCACCTCACACATCCCCACTGTCACCAAGACTCTGGATACATTCAGGTCTGAACACTGCCCACTGCTTCATCAAAACCTTGCCTTCTCCCCTCAGCCAGCAGCACAGACGTCACCTAATGGATCTTACCTTAGAATGTCTATGAGCTCATACACTTTCTGTACTTCCACTCGGAGGTCATTGGCATGTTCTAGACTGTAGGTCGTCTCCCCGGCACTAAGGAGAATCACAGGACATTCTGATCTGAGTTTCACTGTGCTGATTAGAGATGTGCTGTAGGAGGTCCCCCAAGGTTTAAGACCTCTCAAAGGGGCATTTTAGTCTCATGGATATGATGCAGTGTTCCTTCCTGGGATGCACTCATCAACCAGGAGCCACTTTTCAACACAGGGACAGACTCATGCGAGGGCCTCCGAGACTCATCAACAAAACAAATGCAGCTGAATTCACACTGGTTCAATTTCACTGTATCTTATAGATATATGAAGTGATTTACTAAATGAGTCAGTCTCACTACATTTACAGCAGAAAGACACTTAGGTTTTCACATCCAAATACTACCAAGGGAGAAGAAAAGCAAAAAGTTGGCCAAGGAATCTCCAACAGACACCATGTGGACTGCCCCACACTTCTGGTTCTCACAAGCTTCTCCCTACAGGAGAAAAGCACTTCAAATCAAGGAGGTCGAGAATAACTGCCTGTGGGGTGGAGTGGAGGATAACAGAAAAGGCCAGAAGTGGCTTAACTCAAGTCTCAGAGGATAGCAGCACCACTGTATGTTATAATTGGTCATTCGCAAGCCTGTCATCCCCTCACCACACTGCTGCAACTAGAGGACAGAGATTATGGCTTTTCATCTCTACAGGCCTAGTGCCAAGCTTCTGGGCCAAGAACAACAGTTCATCCAGCCTTAGCATTAGCCACTCACCTCCCAATAGGAGGCAGTAGCAACTTAAAGAAGCAAAAAGGATGGCTGTGCTTACCTACTGTGCCATCTGTAAAACAGTTCTAGATGGAAAATACTGGTGTGTTCTATAATCAGAGGATTATAGAACCATGTCTTCATCATCTCTCACCTCACAGTTTACAAAGAACATCACACCAGAAATGAAAAAACAGGCTTTGTCTGTTTAGTTTTGGTTTTGATTTTCTGACATGGGGCCTTGCTATATTGACCAGGCTGGTCCTGAACTCCTGGGCTCAAGCAACCCTCCTGCCTCAGCATACACAGGCTGAGACAAAGACTTTGTCAGGTATCTCCAATCACATGAGAAATAACAAGCTGGCTCAAATCTGAAATCCCTTTTTCTGGTCTCCATCATGTCAGCCAATTTTATTCCCTCAGGGCACCTATCATGCCTGCAGATAGGCAATGCATTGCTTGCTCACTTGATGATCACTTGTCTGTGCTCGCAAGACGGCACAGTGCCATGAGAGCAGGCACTGTCTTCCCTGTTGACTGTGTCAGCCCCAGCACCTGGAACAGCATCTGCCACATAACTGATTCTCAGTATCTGCTGAATGAGGGAGGGAGGGAGTGAAGTGGACGTCAAACCCTGTAGAGCTGATCTTTGAAGAAGCAGCAGGAGTTAGCCATCTGGAAGTATGCTCAGCAACGGCAGTCCCCACTGGCCAGGGAAGCCCATTAACCCACAATCACATCTAGGGAGGAAACCACAGGACACAGGGAGAGACAGCCCTCACCAACAGTGCCACAAGGAAAATGCAGAACAGCAACTCAAATGGCCAGGAATGCACCTTTCCTGCTGGCATCCAGGCAGAAATGCAGTCTTAACAGGGAACAGAAGAGCCCCAAAGCAACAGAAGTCAGGGAGACAAATAGGAGGAAAGGTGCTTTTTGCACAAACCAGATGGGTTTAACTGGTCATATTTGTAAGCCAGACACTTACAGACTTACAAGTTAGGAAACACCTTGAGAACCATACCTCCTGAAAAGGTTCATTTTATTTTTTAAATTTTTTTGGTGGAGCAGGATTTAAATCAGGGCCTCACACTTTCTAGACAAGAACTCTACCACTTGAGCCATACACCCCCACATCCCTTAGGCTTTTAGTTTGTTTTTCCGATAAGGTCTCATGCTTTTTCCTGGGCCAGCCTGGAACCATGATCCTCCTACCTCCCACCTCTGAGTGACTGGGATTACAGACACGAACCACCACGCCCAGCTTTCCTTTTTTTTGGAGACAGGGTCTCTCACTATGTTGCCCAGGTTGATTCAAGCAATTCTCCTGCCTCAGCCTGCCAAATAGCTCAGACAATAGTGTGAGCCACAGCACCCGGCTTCAAGTTCATTTTGATTGCACGTAAGAGCCACACAGTGGGCTTATTAAGAGCATGACCACTGACATCATGAAGGAAGCCAAGTTCACACCCTTTGTGTTTTTGGGACACTATAAAATATTGCTATAGTAAATGTCCAAATAAAAATGTTTTTGTTCTAAACAAGGCACATCTATTTCTACATGCATCCTATAAGCAGCAGGGCAAAAAGATTTAAAGACGAAAGCAGAAAATTCTCAAATCAAGAACACTGACATCATAGTTTTTTTCTACACACTGGGGATTGCTGGAGTCTCATTCTAGTACTGGCACCTCAGATTCTTGCTCACATACATGAGCCTTCAGAAAGAGCAGTGCTCTTACTCAAGGGTGGCAAACTTTTCCCTCAATGAGGATCATGAACTTTTTCGGGTTTTGCAGGCCATACAGTCTGCTGCTGCTCAGTTCTGCCACTGTGGTGCAAAAGCAGTCATCAAACAAACGGGCAAGGCTGTACTCCAATAAAGCTTTATGAAATTAGGTGGCTGCTGGGCGCCGGCGACTCACATCTGTAATCCTAGCTAAAGGTACATTACTCATCGTAATTAAAACTGCAAAAAAACCCAAATACTCATCAATAAACTGATGTATTTACAATGCATACAAAGTGGATGAAGAACCAATACATGCTATATCACAGATGATATAGCACTGTGTACAAGAAGCCAGACACAAAAGAACATGTAATTATGATGCCATTAATGTGAAACACCAAAAATAGTCAAATCCATAGACAGAACAGTGGTTTTCAGGGGGAGGGGCTACTGCTAGTGGGCATGAGGTTACTTATTAGAGTAATGAAAGAAAGTGTTTGGAATTAAGATGGTAGTTGTGGGGCTGGCAGAGTAGCTCAAGTGGTAGAGCACGTGCCTAGCAAGTGTGAGGCCCTGAGTTTAAACCCCAGTGCCACCCCCAAAAAAAATTAAAAACATAAAAAAACAGAAAGATTCAGTAACCAAGGACCAGTGGCCCAGTGGCTCATGCCTATAATACTAGCTACTTGGAAGGCTGACATCTGAAGGATCGCAGTTTGAGGCCAGCATGGGCAAATAGTTCACAAGACCCCATCTCCAAAATAACCAGAGCAAAATGGACTGGAGGCATGGCTCAAGAGGTAGAGCAACTGCTTTGCAAGCACCAAGCCCTGAGTTGAAAGAGAGAAAAGAAAAAGAAGGGAGAAGGGAAGACAGGGGAGGGAGGGAGGGAGAAAAAAAGGTAGATGGTGGTGGCAGTTGCAAACTTTGCGAATAAACTAAAAAATTACCTAACCGTACACTTTAAAAAGGTGTGTGAACCACATCTTACTTTGAAAAAAAGAAAGAGGTGGCAGGCTAGATTTGGTCAATGGGCTAAAGTTTGCCAACCCCTCCTCAGAAGAAAATGCCTACTCTAAGCCCAGACACCTCAATGTGACTATGAAGTGGTATCTCACCAGGCATGAGTGTGAGGCAGACTGCCTTTCCTCACCTCCTTCCAGGTACTATACTCAGCAGTGGTCCTGTGGTCTGAAGCCCTTCCAAAACTTGCGCCATCAGAATGGCCAGTCACCTAACAAGACTACATATTTTCACAAAGCTCATGTGATTATAACATGTGCCCCACTGAAATAAAAACCTGAACAAGATTTTCTTTAGCTGGTCACAGAAGAAAAGCATGGGCAGAGTTAAATTTTCCATTTTTAGGGGCAAGTGGTAGAGTGCATGATTAGCATACACAAGACGTTCTCAGTTCCATCCTCAGCACCAAAGGAAAAAAAAAAAAAGATTTGTACTTTCTGTTACTGCAGAATTGACCTAAAATAGCTCAAAACAGTCACCAATGAATTAGCGTAACAGGAAAGTGCTTACTTTAATGATGCTGCCATCCTGATGTATTCGGGAGCTTTCTGGTCAACTTGCTCCATGCAAAGTCGTAATTTCTAAGAACATAAAAGAAATGAGTGTGGCTTTCAAGATACAGAAGCCTATATATGTAAAATGCTCATTTTTTAAAGCTGGGGTTTTAAAATTGTTGTCAATTCCCTAATTTATAGATCTACTTTCCAAGCAGAAAATCTTGCAGGAAGGAAAGGAAGTGAGGGCAGAGCTTTTGGCCAGATGTTTTTGAGAGGAGGCCTTGTAGGACATGAGCAATGTCTCTTCCAAGACAAGGGAGGAATCAGTGGCTATGTTCTCTCTCTGTCAAAAGATGCCAGGCAACAGCAAGTCACCAGCACCCAGCACTGCCAGTGTTCTCCTCACAAGAGAAGGAGGCAAAAAGTACAGTGACTATTTTCAAAAAAGAGACACCAGGTCATTAACTCCACCCGAAGGATGGAGGACAGTCCATTTGCAGCTCAGCACCAGGTCTCATTCACACCGTTTCTGGTAACTTTGGTATTTATTTTACATGGGGTTGCAGAAACACAATCGTCATGACCCATACAACTGCTTACGGTGCCCATTCAACAGTCATTGGACAAAAACACACTGTCTTAGCTCAGTGTTATACAATCAGCTTGCTGACTGCTGCTTCCGTCCTCTGCCTCACCTCCCAGCCCTAAAGTCTCACCTGGCCATCAGGAGGCTGAGCCAGCCTTGCACCTAGGCATTCCTTACACATACTATGTCCTCTCCAAGTGTGCCTTTACTAAGGGTGTTCTGGGGTCCCTGGTGGTACTGCAGCTGAGGCATTTGAGACTTAGAAGGGGCTCTAAGTCAACAGACAGTAAACACGGAAAGCCTGGAAATCTGTAATACCTTAAACTAACAAGGTCAGTTTCCCATGACTCTTCTGGCCCACTTGTTACTATACCTCCAGCTTCTGTCTTCCCCACACAAGACAACTAGCCTTCCTCCCTTGCTTCTGGGCCACCAGGTCTCCACCCTCCTGGTTTCAAGTGGGCAAGGAAAGGTGAGGAACGAATTTATTGCAACACACCCAGGATGATTCTATGACTCACCCAAGACCCTAGTTGGGAAATCATACCACAGCCTTGGAACAGGACCTAAAAATGACCCAATGGACCCAAAGTATTCTCTAGAATTTGCTGGCAGGTTCAAAGTGAACAGCCAAATCAGACCCGGATCCACAGCATGCATCACCTCATAAAGCTTCACAATGTCAGGCGTGTGTTCCTTCTCATCAATCTGCTGCTCTCTCTTGAGTAGTGTGTCCTTGCAATGCGTGCAGCAGCGGATCCGGTCATCGTCCTTCTCGTCCAGGACTGAGCTAACACTGCTCACACTGCTGATGCTGCCCCGTCGGGAGCCATGAACACTGTTAGGTGACTGGCTGGGGCTGGTATGGGTGCTCAGAGAGTCCTTGCTGGCACTGGTGAGCTTATCTGTAAACCACAACAGGCAGGCAGCCATGACCCTCATGGCATCCAATTATTCCACAACTGCAGAGTGTCAGTCCACAGATGTTTGGCTTGGGAAGCAGAAAGATCAGGCTCCACCTACGGCAGAAACGACCTGTACCTCTGCCTTTTGAAGTGGGGCTCTGGTGGGAAAGGAGTACTGCTGCCATGCAGGTGAGATCCAAATAGCCAGGGAAGGCCTGTTTTCAGGGATCTGAGGTCCACCCCTAACCTGGCCTTCCCACCTTCTACTTCCTCTGCTCTGTATCTCCAACATGACCCCATTTTCCTGAGACTTTCCTCTGCAGCCATTTCCCTAGTCCCAAACATCTGGAACCCACCTTTCCAAAGCTATCTCAAATAGTGCTTCTTGTATGAAGCCTTCCCCCATTCCTGAAGGCAAAACTCTGTCCTTCCTATCATTTCCCACCACATCACCTATTTTACAGCATGGCCCACTTTTCGCCCTGTGTAACAGTTGTGCATACCCCTGGAGTTGCCCTAGGAATGTGTAATTCTTTGGGGTAGAAACTGTGTCTTATACCTGTACTCGAACACAGCCAGCCTGGCCACCCCACAACAGCTGCCCAATATGTCAGCTAATGAGTCCAAGAGAAGAAAGGTAAATAGCATCCCTAAAGTAGCTTAGGAAGTCTTGGGTGTGACAGAGAGATGGTCTCAGGGAGAAAGGGAAGTATCAAGGAAAAGTGGGCCTGGTAGATGTAGAGCTAGTCAGAGGAAGTGTCTGCTTCCCCCCACATTTGCCAGACGCCCCATGCCCAACAGGGTGCATAGTCAGTGAACTCTTTGGTACTGCAAATTCACCCTACATGTCCCAGAAGTCAGTGAGATCATTCAGCACTTTTTTCTGCAGTGCTGGGGATGGACGGCCCCAAACATGCTAAGCCCTCACTCTGCCACGAGCTGCACTCCCCGCAGTGAATCTCCCTTCTCACTTATCTGGGCACCGAGTGCCAGATGTTGCTCCTGTGCTTCCTTCTGCCCAGAATGTCTCCCATCTCTTTTGCGCCCTATTCATCTTTCTAGGAGCTTCTTGAGCATCACCTCCAGACCGCAAGCATCCATGCTCTCACTTACTCCGAGCATCCCCAGTACTCAGTCTCCCATAAGACCTTCAACTTCATTGTATGACAGAGAGCTGTGTGTGACTTTTACCCCAAAGGAAGGGATGAGCCCACTGCTCATTTTTCAAGGTCCTCTTCCCAAAGCCTCCCCTGCCACTTTTAACCAGAGTTGACAAATTGCTACTCAGCATCTCCTGGGTACCAGATACAACTTCATCCATTTTGAGTCTATATCTCCTGTTAGATGCTAACTCGTCAGGTGATGCCTTACACAACAGTAATGTGCAAAAGACAACCTGTGCGTCAAGTCCAGCTGGCAGTCTGGACTTGCCTCCCTCCCCCCTTTAGTGGTACTAGGTATTGAACACAGGGCCGCATGCATGCTAGGCAAACACTCAACCACTAAGCTATATCCCCAGCCCTTGTATAACCCTTGAGCTAAGTATGGTTTCTACATTTTTTTATTCATTTACTCATATGTGCATACACTGTTTGGGTCATTTCTCCCCCCTGCCCCCCACCCCCCTCACTTCCAGGCAGAACCTGTTCTGCTCTTTTCTCTAATTTTGTTGAAGAGAAGACGTAAGCAATAATAAGAAAGACAAAGCATTTTTCCTAGTTGAGATAAGGACAGCTATACAAAGAGATTCCTAGCATTGCTTCCACGTACAAATGTGTTACAACCTAAGTTGATTCATCTCTACCTGACTTTTTCACTAGTTCCCAATCACCTTCCCATATTGACCTTTGTCATTTTAAGGTTACTGTATTAGCTCCTCTGCAATGGGGATATTAAACACTTTGGTTTTTACATTTTTAAGAGATTGTTAAAAAAAAAAAAAAAAAGGGCTGGGAATGTAGCTCAAGTGGTCACGTGGTAGAGGGTTTGCCTAGCATGTGCAAGGCCCTGGTTCAATCCCCTAGGTCTACAAAAAAAAAGAGGAAGAAATGGCACAATGACACAGAGACCATAGGTGGCTCATAAAGCCTAAAATATTTACTGTCTGGTCCTTTAAAAAAAAAAGCTTGCCAAACTGTACAGACTACTGCATCCTTGGCAGCAGAGCTTCCAGGTACTGCCAATCCAGTGGTAGCTTGGCGATAATGGTCTTCACAGACTCAGTGAGTACATGGATGAAGACCTCACAGACCATTAGTTAAACAGGAAGGCCCCACAGGCCTACAGGTGGTTAGCATGGTGCAGGGCCCACCTTCGCATCACTTACTTGCCAAAGGCAGGCTGATGAGCTCCATACACTTCTTGCACATGATAGACCCACAGAGGCGGCAGTGGTGGCGGCGGTTACGGATGCTGAACTTATTACCACAGTCTGGACAGAAAGGGACATCCTGGTCGTTGACCCAAGGTACCACAGACTTTTCTATTGCTTTGGGAAAAACAAAACAAAACTAAACCACCAACAACCAAAAAATATTCAGCATTTTAAAAGAGGAAAAAATGGTCAGGGAAAAAATTAAAAAACAGAATGAACGTGTACAAAGTTCTATAGTTACCTCGAATCTTCGCAGACTCGGTATTCGTTCTGTCAAATGCAGTGAGCTGAGCAGGAGAAAACAGTACCAAATGGCATTAGCCAGGTGACACACACTCTGCACACTTCCCACTACTCATCCTCCAGCAGGAATGAAGCACATTTGCATTTCTTGAGGCTCACTGGTCATCCCCAAACCCACAGTCACAAAAGCAATTTCACACGGGACACAGGAGTAGTTTCACATCTATAAGGCACCTTCCTTCCTACAGACCCACCTCCACTCACTCCTTTGTCAGTTACCTATTTCAGCAATAACCAGGATGGGTGAGCATGGGGCAAGAGCAGCTACTGAAAGCAATAGGGAACTCCTGATTCTTGTCTTCCTGCACAATAAAACTGGCCAATATTTCTGCCTACAAGCCTACATAAAGAAGTGTACCTTGGGCTGGGGATTTATATGCCTCAAGTGGTAGAGCACCTGCCTATCAAGCCCAAGATCCTGAGTTCAAACCTTAGTACTGTCAAAAAACCCTGAAAAGTGTAGCTCAGTAATAGAGGACTTGCCTAGCATATCCCAGTCCCTGAGTTCAAGCCCCAGCACTGTCAAAAAAAAGAAGCATACCTCACCTAGCTCAAGCATAAGGCCCTAAACTCAATCCCAGTGCTGCTAAAAAAAAAAAAAATGGCACCTGGGTTAGCTGAGTAGCTTAGTGGTAGAGCACTTGCCCAGCATGCACAAAGTCCTGGGTTCCAGTTCTAACACCACCAAAAAGGAAAAAAAGAACTGTGCCTGAAGTTGCTACCAGGTCCAACAGGTTATATACAGCAAGCATTTCTATGGTCATAGTACAGCACGAACCTGGTCTTGCAGATGTGCTCTAGTACCACAGGACAAGAAGGGCCAGTCAAGATGTTCGCATGCTGCACACTGGCCCCAGCGCAGTACTCCTCTCCTTTCTGTTGTGATGTCATCAAGTGACATCACGCACTATTCCCCACTGAGTGACTATGCTTTCAACACCCCCAAAAAGAAAAGATTTCCCAGCAGGCAAGTGGGCATCATAGGTAGCAAAGGGAAGCTGGGCCTGTGGCAAGTCTGTCAGCTTAGGCCATTCCCTTCAAGACAGACAGCCCCCCACCACTGTCCTCTGTGTTCTCTCCACACTCTGCCAGCATCAGATGCCCCAACATACATAACACATGCTACAGAAATGTGGAGGTTTTCCCTAGAAAATTTGTACTTGCAAAAAAAGAAAAAGTGTTTTACAACTACAAAATTTACCTTCTCTAACCTGATTATTAATTTATTGACTTCAACAACGTAGTGGTCAATTCTTGCAGCTCGATGTTTTTTGAAGTCAGAAAGATGGCTTCTCACAACACCTAGGAGGGAAGGTAGGGAGATAAATGACTTATAATTTTTCTGAGGAAGCCTCTTTACTGCTTATTCTCAAGGACTTTTAAACGAAAGTAAAGATTCTAGGATTTTAGAGTCTAACTAAAGATTTTAAAACTAGAAGGCAAGTGGAAGGCAATTTGTTAAAATGCTGATCATGGCCCTTACAGGCCACAAAGTATAATATGAGAGGCCTCAGAAATAAGAGCAGATAAGAACTTGGACTGTGGATCTAGTCTGTGCTCAAGTTTCAATTCTACCACACACTGTGCAACTCTGAAATTAACCTTTCTGTGACTTAGGGGCCTCTTCACAAACTAAGGATAACAATACCAGCTAATTCATGGGTTATGAGGATTAAATTAGTTAAAATTTATAAAGCCCTTACAACACTGATAGGCATGTGAATGTTAAATAATAAGGGTGGTAACATGGGCAAATTTTAATTTTCATATTTTTCTCTACTTTCTGAAGCAGGTATAATATACCTTTTATCAGAATTAAAACAATCCTTCTCAAAATGATAAAAAAAAAAAAACTGTTAGCTAGTTCAACTGATACCTTCCTCAATCCAGCAGCCTAGACCCAGAAGAAATGTCCCCAATATAAATGGAACCAAATTACCTCGGTGTACCTGAAATATCCCCTGCTCAATCTCGTCTCTTCCAGAAAACCAATGCTGCCCTACGACCCTGCCAGCACTCAGTGCACTTCCTCTTCACTCACAGACTGCATTATGATTGATACTTGTCACATGCTATACTTTAATTTTATTAAATTAACAAATAAAAATTGTATATATTTATCATGTACAACATAATCTTTTGAAGTAGTTATACATTGTGCAATAGCTAACCCAAGCCAATTAACACATATATTGCCTTACTTACATTTTGTATTGAGAACATTTAAAATCTATTTTCTTAGAAATTTTGACATTTTTACTAATCATACTTATAATTTTACTAGTTATACTTACCATACTGTACCATAGATATCTTGAAGTTATTCTTCCTGTCGGAATAATGTTATATCCTTTGATAACATCTCCATGCTGACACTATTAACCATCCCTGCATCTTTTCTTCCCTATTCATACTCTAACATCTTAAATCTTAGTTTAGAATTCTTCAGTGTAATTATAATTACTAACTTCTAAAATTTGCCATTCACTGGGTTATTTTTCCCCAGTACCATAAACTCTGAAGCCAGTGTCTAGCTTACTATAAGAAAAAAGAAGTGTACATAATATTTAAGATGCTGAGTATTTCATAGGAAAGCTGAATGCTGCTGTAAAGTGCTCTTTAAGTCTTTTTTTTTTTTCTAATCCCCTTTTAATAAATGAAATTAGGGGAACTTCAGGGGACAGAGATGGGATTTGTTGTATGATAAACTGATGTAGTTTTAGTCTTTCTGTATTGAGAAGCAGTGGTTGGGGCATTTTTAAGATGGCTGGCAACACTTGTTTTCCCTCATGATAATAAATTTGTCATAACTCAGTTATGTGACTTGCCCCTAGAGGTAGTTGTTAATAATTTTGGAATATTAAGGTCTTGCAAAGGTTCTGATGATTCAAATCTGTACTACTGATTATTAAGCAGGATAGACTGAGCTTTCCAGTGCACATATTTTGAAGGGGAAAGTAATTTCTAAATGCACAGGTAGCCTGACTGTGGACATTACATCTTATGTCACAACCTATCATATTACTATTTGATAAAGATTTTAATTTATATGGAACTTCTAAAGCAGAATCAGAGCTCCTCCTAGGGAAATGGCAAGTCTGTAGGATAGGCAAGATCCTATGTAGAGTACCAAAGCATTGCCACATGATAGAGAATACATACAGTTAGAAATGTTAAACTATCTAAATAAAATGTGCAAGCCTTCAGGGTGGCACAGAGCAGAGGCTAGTGCTTCTGGGGGCGCATTTCTTAGACGGCTTGCCCAGTGTGTAAATACTTGATGCTATTTGAGTTACATGACTATCTGGTGACTTCATTGAAATCTGCACAATTCAGTTTTAGCTCTGGATTACTTCAGTTGACCTTTGTGAAGGTTTTATCCTGTAGAGTAGGTGGTTGACTTGTTTTAACCTATTAGGGTTTAGGGTATTTTTCACTCTATTAATAGTAAAATTTATTGCAGGAAAAAGAGGTGTGTGTTAATGGTAGGTATGCTGGTTTTGGTTTGGCTTCTTTTAGTTGGGCTTTCTGAATGTGGAACTCTTAAGGTCTAAAATCCTCATTCAAAGCCTCTCACTTGAACCCAAACCAAAGTACTCTCATTGCCTCTTTTCTAGAAGTTCAGGAAAAAAAGCTCCAGTTCAGACTTTACATAACGAGGGAGCAGCATTGCCTGCTTTATGATATCAAGACTCAGTGGTTATTTTTGAAACTGGATTATAAAAATTAGATAGTATCACAATAAGGAGTGAGCCTCTTTTTATGGGCACCCTATAGTTTTATAGTTCTTAATCTAAGCTTAACATTTTATATTTCTTCCTTTTGGAAAAAAACCTACATGCTAGAAGCCACTATATGCACAGACTACAGTGAGTTGGGTCGGCTCTCCCACAGCCTTTTGAGGTGAATTACAAGAGTCCAGCCATTATCATCCTCCTGAGTTACTTTGAAATGGTTTTTTCCTTTTCTTTTTTTTTTTTTTTGTACATTTTGGCTGCAGTATTGGTGGTAGAATATACTATAATGTGGATCATCTCTATTTCTGTATTTATTTATTTATTACTAGACCTCAACCACAGTCTTCTTTTTCCCCTTCCACATTTCTTCACCTGTAGGATGTACGGTATGTAGTCATGCACTTTGTATTAATATATTAGAAAACTACAAATCTGTTTTGTACTTTTTATACTGTTGGATACTTATAATCAAACTTTTGCTAGGGTATTGAATAAATTTAGTCTTACTAGAAAAAAAATAATAATAATAATAAAATTTGCCATTCACTTGAGCTTCCACAATCTGTGGTTTCCTTCAGTTCAACAACTGAACTGAACAGGAAAGTTTAGTCAGAAAACCACCCAGGAAATCTGACTTTGGCAATCGTGATATAAGCTAGCAAGAACTCACATCTGAAATTTCTCATGTTTCTAAACTAATTTTCATATGTAACTAACAATTACGTATGTGCAGAATTATTTTTAAAGCAATTTTCTCCTGTAATGATGGAAATGTTCATTCTCTGTGGGGAACAGACTAAAGCCTATGAGAACTGGACACAAACAAGGTGAGATGCAGTTAATTGCTTTTACCTGTAGGCCGAGCTAGGCACAGCCTCAGCCACAAAACAGGGAAAGGCAGAACAGCTGTTTCTCCTAAATTGCATTCAGAGATGCAGGTTTCTCCTGTTACAATGTCACACCCTTCCCCGTGGCTCCACCCTGTTTGCTGCTATAAAAGACACCTTAAGGAGGAAGAGGGGTTTTTTGGCCTTTACTTTGGGCTTTTTGCTTTGGGGGACTTTTTGCCTCTGACTATTGGGAAGAAGCTTTTATTTGGGCCTTTTGGTGTGGGAAGCTTTTGGAAGGGAAAATGCTAAAGGGAAAAGAACTGTTGAAGGGGAAATGCTAAAGAGTGGTAGATAGAAAGGCTGCACCAAGAGCTTTAACATAGGCTTCAGAAAGCAAAGCTGAGAAAGAACTTCATACGTAGGCTTTAGGAAAGCTAAGGCTAAAGAAAAGCCAAAGAGAACATGGGACAGTGCATGTCTAAGGACCAAGACTTTAAGAGTTATGCATATACAGTTTTTAGGTGCTGCTGGTTTGCAAGTTTGAAGAGGCTTTCAGAGAGCTAAAGAGAGACTGCTAAAGAAAAGGTGCAAGCCTGGGGGCAAAAGACTTTAAGAGCAATTAAGCTAAAAATAAGCTAAGAGCAAACAAGAGACAGTGCAAGCCTAAGGAAAGAGGTTTTCTTTTCTTTTGAGTTTAAATGCACTTTATTTTTAGACAACCTACATGATACGTTTTACTTAAAAAACAATGCATCCGTTCCACATAAATCATAGTCAAGAGAAATGAGGAGCTCGAGATGACTTCGGTTTTAAAGAACTACAAAGGAGTAAGGCCTTAAAGAATCAAGACAGAGAAAAGAAGCAATGAGGGTTGTGTGTTTCCAGTCGAGCGTACAACACACCTGACCCCAAATTTCTTCCTGTCTATCCTGTATCTTTTCTGAATCTCCAGTCACCCCCCAGTTAAGCTCAGTTAGGTCAAGTAACAACCAAGGAGCGAGAGAAAAAAACCTCATTCTAGCAAGGGAGGGAGCGTGAGAAACAGTGCCCCCTTCAATTCTCCAATATGGTAGCCACTGGACATATATGAACATTGAATAGTTGAAATATGGCTAATGTCCATGAAGGACGAAATGTTATCATTCGCTGGTAAATGGATGGAATTGGAGAACATCATTCTGAGTGAGGTTAGCCTGGCCCAAAAGACCAAAAATCATATGTTCTCCCTCATATGTGGACATTAGATCAAGGGCAAACACAACAAGGGGATTGGACTATGAGCACATGATAAAAGCGAGAGCACACAGGGGAGGGGTGAGGATAGGTAAGACACCTAAAAAATTAGCATTTGTTGCCCTTAATGCAGAGAAACTAAAGCAGATACCTTAAAAGCAACTGAGGTCAATAGGAAAAGGGGACCAGGAACTAGAGAAAAGGTTAGATCAAAAAGAATTAACCTAGAAGGTAACACACATGCACAGGAAATCAATGTGAGTCAACTCCCTGTTATAGCTATCCTTATCTCAACCAGCAAAAACCCTTGTTCCTTCCTACTATGGCTCATACTCGCTCTACAACAAAACTAGAAATAAGGGCAAAATAGTTTCTGCTGGGTATTGAGGGAGTGGGGGAGAAAGAGAGGGGGCGGAGTGGGTGGTAAGGAAGGGGGTGGGGGCAGGGGGGAGAAATGACCCAAGCCTTGTATGCACATATGAATAATAAAACAAACAAACAAAAAAAATGGCTAATGTGTGGTTGAAAAATGACTTAATTTACTTAAATTTAAATAGTCACATGGCTAGTGGCTACTGAAGTGGACAGCACAGTTATAAGAGTTTCTTTATTAAAAAGACACTTTCTATAGTGTCACCATCAAGACAGAAGATCCTGGGTAAGGGATTCCCTCCTTAACACCTCAGTCTTTGTCTATAAATGGAAATGAGCATCACTATCGTTGTACTTCACAGAATGAGAGGCAAATGAGAGCATGAATATGAAAGTAAAAGAAAGTACCCTGAAGGAGTCGTTATTTTTCAATTTCATGGACAAAAAATATTTCATTGTGCTGGGGTGAAACTCAATGCTTAGCATATCTGAGTTTTTGGGTCCAGCACTCCCCAAAAACTGTACTAGTGACTTTGTCATTCAACAGTTAAAGGACATGTAAATTAGTCAACTGAGTGTGTACGGCTTGGTAATAGCTTTATTGAGATATAATTCACATACATACAATTCATCATTTAAAGTGCACAAACTCAACAGGTTTTGGTATATTATTGTAAACAACCATCGGAAGAAATTTTAGAAGTTCTCATCACCCCTAAAAGCTGACCAACTTGAAAGTAAGTAATGGTACCGTAATTATGTACCTCCGAAAAGTAAGATTCAAAAAGAAATAAGCTTCAGAAACTAGTGGCTCTTACTAGGCAGGTCATGTCCTGTGTGACTGCCAATGGAGTCTGTGCCTGGGCTAACCTCAGAGGCCCAAAATCACACCCACTTCTGCAGCTGTTTGATCCTCAGCAGGTTCCCAAGGGGTGCAGTGAGAATTCAATGAGGCCAAGTACTTAATGCCGTGCCTAACAAAGTTGATCTCGACTCATTTTTCCCGTTTTCTCCCAGTAGAGTTATAAGATCCATGAGAAGCTTAACCCTTATGGTGTACTGATACCTCCTTAACAAAATCTTGAAATATGCAGACTACAATAGATGTTCAATAACCACTGCTGAATGAACGAATGCATTTTCTTACCAAGTTCCTGGGGTTCCCACATGTAAGGATCAACACCTCCATAGCTGAAAGATTCATATCCTTGGGTCCCTGAGTCTGCTCGATCATCTCCTTCTCGTTTCAACAACTTGTTCTTTGCTTTCTTAGCTTTCTGGACAAGACCTTAAAAAAGGAATAAACACCACAATGAACCCATGAAGAGCACCAAGTAAAGAGTCAAAGGAAATCTCAAATTTGACGAAAAAATGAACCTTATCTAAAAATGCGCAAGTATTTGGATCCCAAAACAAATGCAGCAATAAATACAGAAACACCGTATTACAAATAACACAGCACACCAGTATCAGTTGGCTTACATGGCCAACATAAATGCTAAATTATTGCTTATTGCCAAATTTAAAAGCCCAATTAAGTAGAAACAATAAAATCAAATTTAATGAGGGAACCTGAATGATGGACGTATTTTTTCCTAGGTCTTAATTGGGATGGTGGTTATATTTTTCAAAACTTCTATCTGAACTGTATAAAACTTTATCTCAGTTAAATAAGTGTTTTTTTTTTTTTTTTCTCGTGATGCTTAAGATAGAACCCAGGGCCTCATGCTTGCTAGGCAAGCCGCCTACTACTGAGCTGCACCCCCAGGCTCTAAAGTCTTTTCTTTAATCAGATTCTACAGTACTAATTCATTTACTCTAGGAACTCAGGAGTTAACAATTCTCATTTACCTCCAGGATGGGATACAGCCAAACCAACATCTCTGGGCTGAGATGTTTCTTAAGGACATAGCATTCTTCTCTCCCCACTTCTGCCATGGACTTACTGAAAGCTGACGTGAGCATATTTACAAAAAGCTTCAAGAAATGGATAGAGCATGAACAACCTAACAGTAAGGGAAACAAGTATTTTCTGAGTTTAGCCCTTGTAAGTCCTAGGCACAAGGCAAAATGTTCTTGAGTACATTATGCCACTTCATGCTCACACTATGTAAGGCAGGGGACAGCCCTACTTACAAAAGAAGAAATGACATCAAATAGAGAAACTTGCTTCACCCAAGATCACACAGCTCTCATAGGCAGCACAACTGGAAGTAGATGTCTCATGTTTGAAATGACAGCCCCAGCTCTCAGCCTGTGTCGATTTACAAACAATGACTCTGCAAAACAGAGGGTCTGCTACCTGTGCTGCAGTGAGAGGACCATTTGTTAAAAATTGAAGAGGTGGGCTGATAGAGTGGCTCAAGTGGTAGAAAGCCTGTCCAGAGAATATGAGGCCCTGAGTTTAACCCTAGTACTAAAAACAAAAACCTGAAGACATTAACTGGTGAGGGAAAAAAATTTCTCAGTTCTAAATTGTTCTCTCAATACTGATCTTAAATCTTGGTGACTAGTATCCCTTTCTGCCACTAGATTTAATAGACAATACTAGATTCAGTACAAAATGACATTACTTTGACATTTAATAGACAATACTACATGTAGTTCTCATGTCTTTCTAGTGTTTTATCACTAGAATAATACTAAAAACACCTGCAGAGTTCTTCAAAAATCTAGGCAAATTGCAGGCATGGAGGGGCTAGCAGGCAGGAATGACAAGGTTAGAAATATGCCTTTGCTGGACAGTCCACCCAGTGAGCAAATTCCCTGACTATAAGTCACTTTGACATGGCTTTTTCCAACTGGAAAAATACCAGAACTAAAGACATCCTTTAAAATGCATTAAAGTTGTCTTTTCTAACAGGGGGAGAGGAAACTGCTTGATATGAACAAAGGGTCTAGCAGACAGGAAACTGGAGTTAGCAAACGCTTCATTTTTGCAAACAAGACTAAACTGTGTTGAGTTAAACGGGCAGACTATGCCACTTAACTACTTTAGAAGACAAAGTTGCCTGGCAATCTACCCAGTGGATGTAGCCCTTCACAGGGGGCCAACTAAGAACCAATAAATACATTTTTTTAAAACACAAAACAAGTTATAGCTGATCTCCATCCTCTTCTCCTACCTATTACAAATGGACTAAACTGAAGCTGAGCCAAGCTGGGGCTCAAACCCATAGACCATTTTTCAGGAATGGCCAGTCCATCTGGTCTTTTAAACACTGCCTCTAAAACCTCATACCAAGGTTGTCTCTTTCGGCATTCACTTTTTACTTGCCTAAAAATATAAATACCGTAAATTTTCAAAGGATCAAAAGAACAAATAGGTGATCTGCTTTTTAGTCAGGTTAGCAGGCAGAGATCAAAGATGATCGAGGTTCAAAATCAGCTCCGGCAAACAGTCTGAGACCCTATCTCAGAAAAACTCATCACAAAGGGCTGGTGGAGTGGCTCAAGTTGTAGGCCCTGAGTTCAAGCCCCAGTACTGCAAAAACTGCAACACAAGAATTCCTTTCTGATTAAAGAAATGACCATAGTACTGTAGGAATGCTTAACTTAATCTCCTTGTTCTTTTGAAGTAGAAAGGCAGAAATGGAGGTGAAAACCAAAGGACTGTTTTTCTTATGTGTGCAGTGCTGGGGATGGAACCCAGGGTCTCACACATGGTAGGCAAGCACCCTACCACTGAGCCACACCTCTAACCCCTCAGGAGGAGGGTCTTTTCAAGTTTCTCTCATAAGGAACAATATTTCCACTCTATGTATACTCCTTAGATTCACATATGTATCATTGCTTAAATAAGCTTAAACATTTTTCCTCTGTATAAAAACAAAAACTGTCGTTGCAGCAATTTAAGGACATTCTTTAACCTGTCTGCAAACTAGCCTGACCAGTCTGAGGAACAGCATGGTGTGTATGACTCATGTCAGCTGATGCTAAGATGGACTCTCTCATTGGAAACCATGGACACCCTTCAGTTGTCCACAGTAAACTTATATACTCAGTTTGGGAATGTTTTGTTCCTTTTTCTCCTTTCTAGAAGCTACAATGCAAGCCATGATCAGAACATAGGGTCTTTCATCTCAGTGATGCCCTGCAGAAAGAGCAGCAGCAGAGTCAGAGGTGGCAGAAAATCTGGGTTCTAGGCCTAGCTCTGCAAATTCCTGTGTGACTTTTGATAAGTTACTGGCTATCTCTGAATCATACTTACTATCTATAAAATGACACCAGCCACGTTTCTGAAGGGCTATTGGGAGAATCAAGTGAAATGACAACATATGTGAAAGAAACTCTGAAAACCATAGAGCACACTTTTCCTCATTCCTCCTAATAGTTATAGCTCTGTTCCAGTCTCTACAGCCAAAACGCACACTGATAACTACAGCCCTCGGATTTTGAAACTGTCATGTTTTTGCACAGTTATAGCTGTCAATGCTTCTAGCAACTTTTTTTCCTGTACTGTGAGACATGGAGTTGAACTCAAGTGACAAATATTTGACAACAAGATGCATGAGATTCATGTTTGAAGGGCAAAGTCCACTTAGGAATACACCAAGGTCCATTCCTTTCTCATTCAATGAATATTACGAACACAGCATCCAGACTTTTTAACTCTTGTGGCCTCCAGAAATGCTGTCAGGAGTGAGAAACAAGATTGCTGAATAAGTAGGAGAGTGAGTTCCAGAGGAGCAGCAACTTATTTGGGGGTTTATTTATACAATAAATATTATTTAGAGTCAGAATTATCTTTGAAAATCTTTCTGCAATGAGGCCTTGGCAGCTCAAAAATCAAGGTTTAACGTTTTAAGTTGTTTCCTCTTTGCTTTTCAACTATGACCTTCTCTTTCCTGGGCTGCAGAGGGAGAGGGTAAGGTCAGTGGAAAAGAAAGGATGGGAAGAAGGCTTAAATATATGACAGACAAATGGGTGCCTAAACTTTTGGAGCAAAACAAAGGTATTCCTGTCTAAGGCTTAGAGGTTAGATAGTTCAAGTAACTCATGGTGATTACGCTTACTAGATTCAAAGTCAGGCTGTGCGTCACTGTGTGACTTTAGGTTACCTAATCTCCGTGTCTGGTATCCCCACCAGCAAAATGGGGCTCACGCTCACACAGCTGCTGTGAGGATTCAATTAAATAAATACACAGGAAGACTGAAGAGTGAGGGGCACAAGGCAAGCACTAGCTATCTGTTCACACTACTATTATCCTCATATCCAGGTGGCACCACAGGAGCCTGTGAAAATATCTCGTCAATTAACACAATCTTTGTGACAGTATGAGATGGGCAAGAGCCCCGCCTCTTACTTTTAATTTGCCCTTTGACATCACGGTCTTCCCCGGAGTGCTCTTCCTCATAATGTGAATGAAGCTGATAGAAAGACTGAAGATCCTTCAGGCACAGAGGGCAGAGGAAGCCCTCCCTCACTTCCCCTGGGTCATCCAGAGAAGCCATGGTTGTGCCCCTCTCAACCGCAGGAATGCAGGGGCCTCATGCCAAGAGTTAGCTTGATTCCTCCCAAAGGAGCATTAGCTTAAGCAAGCGGCACACAGATGATGGGGAGGTGGCATCATGGCTCTGGATGGTTCCTCTCTGGAGCAGGAAGAGCCCTGAGAAAGGAAAGAAGAGAGAGAAAAGAATAAATTCAGGCAAATTAGCGGCAACCAAAAATTTTCTTTGTTCTTTTCACTGTTCAACAAAGGTACTTAATGTTTGTTCAATACAAGTTTGCAAAAACCAATGTTTCTCAAATCCTTAGACCAAGACACAAGACCCAAGATGTGAGAACATCACAGGACACTAGGAACTCACTGAAGCAGGAAGCAGATCCTAAAGATAAGCAAACAGGGATACCAAGGCACTTAACAGTTTATTCCAATGGCCCCATTCATCACTTTCATGCCATATTAGCCCCTGAGGAAATGTCTGAAGTACTAAGAGCAAGCAGAAGTTTTTATTCAACCATAAACATTAGGCTCTTGATACTTAGACACACACTTAAAAATGCAAAGATGAAAAAAAGTCATTGAAAAAACAAAACTCTAAATCTCATCTTAAGGAGGAATATTATAAACTAGTGGTCAAAAAGCACAACCAGCCCAGAACAGAGGGCACACCTGCTACTCGGGAAGCTGAGGTGTGAGGCCCCTTGAGTCCAGGAGCTGCAAGTCAGCCTGGGCCACACAGTGAGACGCTGTCTCCTAAGAACAATCAATAAATTGGAAAAGAATTATTTCATGTTTTGTATTTGTGGAGCTCTTTCACCTGCAATGAGCATTCTAGATTTTATAAAGCAGCAAAGGCAAGATGAATGTTGTCTCTCTCCCAAAATAAAAGGATTTAGCGCTTTAACATTTCGGAACTTAAACGGTTACATTTTTTGTTTTACTTGGACCATGGCAAAGTCATTTTCAGTGTCACCTCAGAAAGACTCCTAGCCATAAAGAGAATTCAGAAAAAAACATCCCACAAAAGTTGAGAAACTTCTCCGGGAGAACCTAGGGCTGTACTGTGGCTTTTGGCATGACCTCAGCTTTAGATGGACTCAAAAGACCACTGAGGAGGGGACCACCTGGTCTTCAAAACTGAAAGAGAACAACAAATCGGAACAAGCACAGGAGGAGGCACCAGGTTCCCTGAGTTTCCTGGAGTCGGGAAATCTGGTGCCTACACACAAAAAACCAGCCCCACTAGTCCCTCCCCAGCAATTCCCCACGCGCTGAAACAGCCGCTTAAGACTGACCTGTTCCCTGTCCCCGCCCCGCCCCAGCCAGGACTCCCGATCTTGGGGATTCTGACGGCCCCCTCCTCTCCATGCACGCACCCCGAAAGCCACAGATCAAACACGAGCCCGCTACGCCCCTGCCACACCTCCTCCTCGGCCTATGCCCACCCGGATGCCCTCTTCCTCCGTAGCTCACCCCCGTTTAGAGTCACGAGTACGAGTGCCAGGTGACAGCACACGCCGTCTTTTCCCCACCGCCGCATGCCAGGGGTCTAACGCAGGACCCCGCACATACGAGGAAGAATGAAGAAATTGGGGGGTGCATTTTTAACATCATTAAAGGAACCCTCAACCATCACACGGGGTCCTGCAGCCAGACTGCACGCATACCCACGCTCCGCGCATCACCAACCACGCAGACAAACACAACTTTCGGGTCCCGCGCTGTGCACGAGTCCAGACTGCCGCAGCCGCACTCCCGAGGGCCTCGGGGCCGCTCCGAGCACAGTCCCCCTCCCCGCGGCCACGCGCGACACGAAGGACGACCCCACGTCGTCATCACCCATCACCCATCGCGCAGACACCACAGCAGGCGCTGCCAGTCACTCCACGCAATCTCGGAGCACAAACGCCTCAACCTCACGCAACCAGAGACGAACACAGCCGAAGCACTCACCGCACATCTGCAACGCACGGCCCGCAGGCCACGTCACACCCACCGCAACCACAAACCCCACACCCCACGCTTCCGCGTCCCCGTGCCCAAGCCGAGCCGAGCTCCCGCCCCTCAAGCCGCCCCGGCCCTCTGTACCCAGCCGAGCTCTCGAGGGCCAGCAATGGTCCTCGGCCTGGGCCCTGGGCCTCCAAGTCCCTCAGAGAGCCAAGACCGCCATCCCCATCGGCTGCTCGGCGCTCGGCAGACGCGCCTGCGGCGGCGCGGAAACCGGAAGTAGGCTGGCAGACGGGCCGAGCGCCGAGCGATCCAGGGCACGAAGTGGGCGGAGACAAATTGGATTGGCGCAGGGTGGCCAGCGGCTTCTGAGCATGCGCCGTGAGCAAAGGGTGGGGTCCGGCGGGAGGCGTTACGGGCAACGCGTTAAAGCCCCTGCTCCTTCCCGGTCTCGCTTCGCTGTTCTTCCTGTTCCCCCCTCCCATGGTACAGACGGGGAAACTGAGGCACATAGTGGGTTGTTTTTTTTTTTTTGGTTCTTCAACCAATGTGCACAAAGAACGAGACAGCCACGGAGTCTCTAATATTAATCTGTCCCACTCCCAACTGCAGAATGACAGTGGCAAAGACCTGCCTGTATGCTTTACATATGCTTTACAGTTTATCAAAATCACTTTCCTTATTTAGACCTTGGGGCAACTCTATCACTATTTCCATTTTAATAATAACTAATATTTACTATTCTGAGTTTTGTATGTGTTAATTCATCTCATCCTCACACAGCCCTAACGGGCATCAACTAATGGCTCCCACTTCGTGAGAGGAAGCTAAATCACAGACAGGTTAGATGACTGGCCCAAGGCCACAGAGCTTTTATGCATCGAACCCAGAGTCGTCTCCCTTGCACCAGACCGACGCTCCCTTCCTCCGTGGAAGCCTGAGTGCCAAGACTTCCTGCTTTGCTCAGCGTCTTCCAGGCACCAACCGTGAGCCAGGCAGAGAGATGAAGGGTGCGAGGAGAAGGCAGGAGCGTCTCCACTTTGCAAGGGGCACAGATGCTCATAGGCCCGTTAGCTCAACAAAGTCAAGTGTGCCCTGTGTGCAAAAGGAGAGGCAGGTGGACTTGCCTATGAGAAGGATTTCCAGACACGGTAACTCATAGGCGCGATGTTCAGGAACAGCCTTCCAGGCCAGCGGCACAGCACATGCAAAGGCATGTCTATGGGGAAGAACCTGAGTCCTTCGAGAAATGTAGAAAAGTTCACCCACACAAAGAGGGATAATACTAAGGTACGCCTCCTTGTTGCCAAAACTGTAGCAAGCCGATGCTGGTGGCAGACTCTCAGACAGCTGGGTCTCTCCATCCCTGCCTTGCCTCCCACCGTTGGGTGCTCTATCTCTGTCTCTCTCTCATTCCTTGCCTTTCTCATGGCCCCTTGCTCTTCTAAGCTTATCCCAGCAGCACAAGATGTCGGCATCACATTAAAATCCCTGAACAGAAAAAGGAATCATAGTAAGATTGCATCAGGGGAAAGTATATGGCACGTGTGTCTTTCCAAAGGGCGCCTGGCCCCAGGGTCCAGGCCTCTGCCCTTGCTGTGGTCCTGCACCGGCACTTGATGTTTCAGGTTGGCACACCCTGACTGCTGGCATGGGAAGCACATGTGATGACAGAGGGCCTTGACCATGGCCTGCAGGATCCACAATGGGGGTGCTGGGCTGGGCCGTGTCCGGGGGAGGCAGGTGGCAGCTGCACAGAGTGGCTCAGGAAATCAGATTGGAAGAAAGAAGAGAGAAAGAGGGAAGAGAATGTTTACCACTCAGCTGCCTGGGGTTCTTTTGCTCTGCCCATTGTAGAAATGGTGAGTGGGGAGGAGAAGCTCTTGGAGCTCTGGCAGTGCCAGCCCTTGAGTGTCCAGGGCTGAGGGGCTGCACTGCAGACCCAGAGGCCCACAGAGTGTGGGGCCTACTACTCCAGGCTTTAGCAGCAGGGACACTCACACTGGGGGCTTTATTGCTTTGGGCTTTAACCTCAGTTGCCCCAGAACTTGGCGGTTACTGTAATCCTCCACCTCTATCAGCAACAGTGGGCGGCGGCAGCAGGCAGCACCTGTTAGTGTCATAGCACCTGTTTAGAGGGCCTTGGGTACTGGGACCCTCAGCTCCTACAGCAGCTAGTGTTTGTTGCAGCACTTGGTCCTTAACAGTGCCTAGTGCTACAGGTTTCTGGGACCCTTGGTCCTTGAGGCTCTCCCAGTAACCAGGGTCTGTGTCTTCTCATCTCTGACTCTTCACAGCCTTCTTTCTTCAGCTTTGGTTCTCTGTCCTCTCTTGCCTTCTCTCTACTTCTGCGTCATTGTTTCCACTGTTAGAAATATCTTTAAGATATTGGGTGTCACAAGAAAGACATGATACAACTCAACAGGCAAGGCAGAATTTACTTCTGCAGAAGGGTGCACCACAGACAAGGAGCAAGCACTCCCAGGCTGGGCTTGCTGCCCCTCCCTGAACTGGGCAAGTTTTGGGTTCACAGTTTGTATGGTTGGCTAATTAGAAAGAGGACATTGGGAGGGGGGCTTTGAAGACAAAGAAGTTTAAAAGCTCAGGGAAGCAATAACTGTTTTAGGTTATCAGCTCCAGAAGCAGGGCATCTAGCAGAATTTTGTCTGAGAATAACAACCCTTTGTTCTTTTGTTTTTGCAGTACTATGGCACTTGAACTCGGAACCTACACCTTGAGCCACTCCACCAGCGCTTTTTTTGTGATGGGTTTTTTTGAGATAGTTTGCGAGACCCTATTTGCCCAGGCTGGCTTCAAATCTCAATCCTCCTGAGTAGCTGGGATTATAGTCGTGAGCCACCAGCACCCAGCCAATTCTCTGTTCTTAACAGAAACTTTTATCATATTAAGCAAAGTCCATGAAGCAAGAGTATGGGAAGTGAGTTAGTGAGACCAACATTTGTAACAGTGGTGGTCACCGATTAAATCCTTTGACAGAAAAGACCCAACCTAAGCTGATTCTCATACCACCGCCTGTGCTCCTTGTCATTTCCGATGTTTCTGCCCTGGCCCCTCTCTGGAAGTCTTCAGTCACTTTCACACCAGTATTGCACTGCCACTACCAATGTCTTCTCTTCAGGTTACCAGTTTAGCCAGCTCTACTCCTGATAAAGATCAAAAGTAAAGGAGGAAAGACCACTGGAGAGAAGCCTCTTATTGGGCCTAAATGCCAAGAGGCAGGACAGCCAACCCTGATTCCAAAGGTGAGCTAGACTGCTTATATAGCCAGAAAGGGGGTGTGGCAAGGGTGCCCGCACCAATCATAGTAGACCTTCATGCAAATGAAAAACTTTTGCACCAATCACAGACCTAATGAAGGAAGAAGAGACTTGAGCCCCATCCCCTGCTGGTCTGCGTAAAAGTGGTGGTGAAGAGTTCACCAAGGTTTGTAATGGCAAAAAGGTCCGGCAAAAGCTATTTGAGGGATGGCGGTATGGCTCAAGAGGGAGAGTAGCAAATGCAGGGCCCTGAGTTCAAATCCTAGTACTGAAAAAAAGCTGTTTGAAATAGTTGTGGATAATATATCTGGAGCCAAGGTGTGCTTTGTTGACAAGCAACCGGGGTTGCCCTGTAGCTTCCACAAGGCATCTATGGGGTGTTCTAAGCAGCTGGGCTGTCGTGAAGGTGTCACGTGCTGGTGTCAAAGGGTTGCAGGCCGGTGCGGAGGGTCCTTGCCTTCACAGGCCAGAGAACTGGCTCATGAGACAGCTGAATGCTGAGCCAAAGTCGGTGTATAAAGTAGGACTTATTAGAGGAAGAAAAGGCTACGGCTACAGCAAGGTAACTCCCTGCTCAGGTCAGGCTAGGGCTTTTTAAAGACGCTTTAACTCTGGGTTAGGGTATCAGATGGGTTTCTCCTATTGGCCATGTATTTGCATGGAGGCCCCCTTAGATGAGCTGGTCTGTTTGCCCCTTATTGGGGGGGAGGGGGTGGAAAACATTGAGAGCATTTTGTTTATCAGTCCTGTGGCAGATTTGTGGGACCCTGTATCTCTTCCTGGTAGATTTGTGAGACCCTGTATCTCTTCCTCAGGGTACAGGAATGCAGGTTTATAACTCCCTCTCAGGATGGAGGAGTATAGATTTATAACTCCTTCTCGGGGTGCAGGACTCATGGGGCTGTCCGTGGGGGATGGCCTACTTACTCTGCCTTAGGAATCCAGACCCAACAAAGGCACTCTGGCCAGCTACTTGGCTCACAGACCTCTGCTCAAGGCAGCTGGGCACCAGGGAGGTGTCTAACAACAGGCAATTAGGGCATCAGATTGCCCTGGCCTTAACATCTTAGCTTATTTAAAGAAAAATATGCATTAAAATGGATGCTTATTGAAAAAAAAAATTTGAGTATTTAGCAGTGTTTACCTCTTCCCCCATAGCCCTAGGGAGAAATGGGTCCCTCCTATCTGTCTCAAAAGGAAGGGAAGAGCAGGGTTCAGGTGGCTCATGCCTGTAATCCTAGCTACTCAGGAGGCAGAGACCAGGAAGATGGAGGTTCAAAGCCAACCCAGGCAAATAGTTCACGAGACCCTATTTTAGAAAAACCCTTTCACAAAAAAATTGGGCTGGTGGAGTGGCTCAAGGTGAAGGCCCTGAGTTCAAGCCCCGGTACCACCAAAAAAAAAAAAAAAAGAGGAAGAGAGGGAGGGAAGCAGGGAGGAAAAGACTGATGGGTGAAGAGGGAGCAAAGCTTTGGCTATAAGCACAGATGCTGGCACCAGTCAGCCTGGGTTTAAATCCCAGCCTTGTCTCTTGTAGTTGTGATCCCAAGCATGTCACAAAAATTCTGAGCTTCAGTCTCCTCTTCTGTAAAATGAAATGAGGATAGTTGCCTGCCTGTTAGCTTGAAGGGCTGAATAGGTAAACATTTGGAAAGTCTTAACATAATGCCTGGCACATAGAAAGGACTGTGTAAATATTTGCTAAGCAAAGGAAAAAGAAGTGTCATTGAAATGTCTTGGCAGTTGGTCTTGCTG